TCTAAGTTTGAAAGCCAAATAATGTAAAGCCTCTTAAAAATGGCCACATACTCCATTGACAAACTGTCTCTTACGCTTAGGCAGCTGGAGCCTAAATTCTATTTGCTTAGGTGATCAGAACTCCAATCTCATTTATCTTATGGTACTTAAAGGTTCTCAAGAAACCTTGCCATAAGTAAAGTCTTTGAACATGTAGGCACTCAGGCATTATACTTGCTAACTTTTATACATTCTGCAATGTGCTCTGAATTAATCAGTCTTCTTTCCATTGTTATTTATTCTGGAAATATACTGGCCACTTCACAATAGATATAAGAAAACTTGGTCTCTGCTTCAGAGTGCTGAAAATGTAATTTCAGACATGACAAAATAAAGGAGGATCCGGAGCAAGGTACTAGAACAATAGGCTAGTGTAGAGGGATGAAGTAGAAGAGAACCATCAATAAGAGGATACACATGTTCTGCAAAGGCTAGTCTACAGTATAGGAAATAAGTATAATTGCTAGCTCATTTCTTGTAGGTGTAATTGTAGAAATGGCTTTCCAGGAGATTCTCTGGTTTGCACCTTATACTGCTGGTAAACTAGATATAACTTTCAAGCACAGCTGTCCTGAGACAGATTTAAACTAATGAGCTCCGTATGCCATTACTAAGCTCCCCGCAATCTCTTTAGCAAGGACTTGATACATCTGATTCTATCTGCATATGCCTGACCTGGCTCTCCAGTAAATCACATTTGGCCTGGTTATGGTTGGCTTTATGTGAATGTACAAGATGGTGGGTAACAGATGTCTCCTCACATGCTTTGGACCTCAGCACAGGGGCTATCCACAGTCAGATTTTGGAACAGATGCCACACTTCCATCAATTTGCCTTTTTCTGCCCCAGGCAGCAGGGCTTAAATAGGAGAATGTAAGGAAAGATGCAAGCTGCATCCTGCTAAAGGGTGAAGAAACTTGCTCTTCAGCCTGCTTTGTACTAAAGCCTCTGTAGCATTCCCAACTAGGCCAGTCATTCCACCACACCAATCCTACCCCAAGGTGAGAGAGCTGTTGAGTTTTTTGGTTGAGCTCTGAGGAGAGTAGCCAATTAATAGCAATCCACTTCACTCTTTTCAGCATTTGCAGGAAGGGCATTCAAAAATAAACAGGGAGAGAGGAGACTGTTTCAGCAACATGTGATGGCAACGTGTAGGCTTCCCCTTTAAAATATTCCAGGCATTTTCTGTGCCATTTTTACTCAAGGCAGATAATGACCATATCCTTGGAAGAGAAGCATAAATATTTTCCTGCCTATCTTGGCATAATAACTAAAGGAAGCAATTTTTCACCATACACGGAAGCTGAACACAGCTATCGCTTCCTTCCAAAAACGGACGATACAATTTAGAAAAGATCCCCTGGGAAACATACAGAAGTATAAAGATAAGAGGACTGCAAAAGCTAGAACCTTAGCTTAACCTGTAGAATCTTCCCAGAGACTCTGGGCACACATTGGGCTGAGACAAATGATACACACACAGGAGGGCTGCAAGTTTTCTTGTTACAGTTTAGTCTTTGATTTCAGTTGCATTCAGAACGGATGACAGAGAACATATTGTACCTTCTCAGATTTTTTTGGTTAAGTTTTTATTAGACAGGGATGAATTTTGTTTTTATTTGAGCACTGACTAGCCAAGTGAGTTACAAAAGCTGAATGTAGGATTTAGAAGTCTGCTTTTTATTTAGTCAGTTTTCCTGAATACTTTAGCGCTTAGACTTTTAATTGTTCCCAAAGCAGGGGAACAGAAACCACTGATTCTGCAGTCAGGTGCGGTGGATGGACCCTTCCATGCTTAGAGGGTTCATATGGATCATATGGAGGGTTCATATGAACCCTGGTCTATCTTGACTGATAGCTGATCGCCATATTTGGGGTCGGGAAGGAATTTTCCTCCAGGGTAGATTGGCAGAGGCCCTGGAGGTTTTTCGCCTTCCTCTGTAGCATGGGGTATAGATCACAGCTAGAGGATTCTCTGCATCTTGGGGTCTTCAAAGTATTTGAAGGCTTCAATATCTGAGATATAGGTAAGAGGATTATTCTAGGAGAGGTGGGTGAGGTTTTGTGGCCTGCACTGTGCAGGGGGTTGGACTAGATGATCATAATGGTCCCTTCTGACCTTAGAGTCTATGAGTCTATGAATCTAACTCAGTGTAAGGCTGAGGCCAATAAAATCTAGACTTAACAGATAACTGACTCTCTAGCCAACTACCCCCTTCTGTAAACTGCAACAGCAGATGCCCCTCTGGCTATGGTGAGGTTTTGTGGCCTGCACTGTGCAGGGGGTTGGACTAGATGATCATAATGGTCCCTTCTGACCTTAGAGTCTATGAGTCTATGAATCTAACTCAGTGTAAGGCTGAGGCCAATAAAATCTAGACTTAACAGATAACTGACTCTCTAGCCAACTACCCCCTTCTGTAAACTGCAACAGCAGATGCCCCTCTGGCTATCCCAGAGGAATGCCATGCTGACTCTGGGTCATTTCTTTTTTTATAATGTCCTCCCTGGAGGTTAAGTGAAATTTGGAAAAGATTAAAACCAGATTCATCTGTGCAGGAGCAGAGTTTCCAAGCTCTCCATGGGTGCATCTACACAGCAGCGTTAGCTCAAAATAAGCTATGTGATTTGAGTTACGCAAATTGCATATCTTATTTCGAGATAGCAGCAAACATTGATGTAGACTTTCTACACAGCACCAAATTTTTAAATAAACCGCTATTCCGACAAATCCTTTAATTCTCAGGGAATGAGCTTTGCCGGGAGGTCAGAATAACAAGCCAATTATTTTGATTGCATTTAGAAATAATGGGCATGCTGTGAAGATGCAGAAAACACTATTTCAGGCTATTTCCCCTTTGCAGATCACCTGTATGTGACCAAACATTTTGTGTGCACAGGATCTTGGTCCCAATATGCACTTTGGGTTGGTGCTAGACATTTAGATGGACCCACGCTTGACTCCTTCTTGTCCAGAATGGGGAAGCAGACTGTAATGGGATTAGCCAGGGCTAGATTTCTAGTTAGCCAAGGTAGGCATGTGCTTAGGGGCACCTCACCTCTCTAAAATTGAAAAAAACTTAAACAGTGAGTCATCCTCTAGCACCTTAGAGACTAACAAAAAATGTAGACGGTATCATGAGTTTACACGAAGGTCAGCAGTACACGGAGTGTGTGTTTGCTGATGATGCTGTGCTTAGGGACATGTAATATGAAAATCCAGCCTTGGGACAAGTCCTGCCTAGCAGAAATGGTCTTACCCCTCGAATTATGGACAAAGCATTACATAAAAGGTGGAGGCAACTATGTATAAGGGTTCTTCCAGGTTGGGAGGAATAGAGGCTATCTGAGCCTTGGAGTTTTGGGTTGCTAAATCCTTCAGGGAGCCTAACTGGTCCTACCATGGGAAGGATGGTCCAAGTGCTATGGAATGGCAAGATATTTCCCTCCCTGCTGGAATAAGGGCCTTGAGTTTTATCCATTTGATTATTTGTTTTACTGTTCCCTGGCAGCAAGTCATCAAGGTTAATTTATACTAATGATTAAGGACTGTTGTGTTCTTTTTCTCAACCTGGAACCAACTGGAGAGCTTCCCATAATGGACTAGCTTTGCTTTCTAGTGTGACAGCAGAGACTGTTGCAGCTATGTGGGAACAGTTCACATTGTAGCTGACCAGGAATGAGGTGGAAGGTAGTTTCATATAGGTGGCAAGTGGAGACACCGTGTGTGTTTGTCCTAGAGTTAGAAAACAGGAGCTGACACTTTGTGACTCTTAGGCACCACTGCGCTGTACATATACAATACTCACAATGGCTGAAGGATGGAGCTCCCTGCGACACACTGTATGTGATATGGGTAGGCACCTCAATCTAATTTTATCAGCCACATTCTTCTCTTAGTTGCTGGCCAGATGTTCAACATCTAGTGGCTTGATTAGACAGATCGACTATAATAGCAGATAGGCTTTTAGTGCATTCATTTTGATTTTTATACTCTCCAATGATTCTTATTATCAGGCATGGGTGCACTCTGGCCATAATGAAACTGGGGGAAGCTTCCTTAACCCTCCCACTTCTATAAACTGTTGTAACTTGGAAGGAAAAATGAGCAGACTATTCTCATGTGAGCGACTTGCTTTCATATAGTTGACTTGACTTCTTTAGTCGTCTTCATCTTTTTAGTGTGGGAGAAGTAATTTATTATACAGTAGCTTGAGATTTAAATACTGTCTAGCATTAATCAAGGTGAGTTTTGCTGGTAGCCTCCACCAGGTGGCAGACAATGCACTGGCATTTAGTGAAATAAAACAGTCTAATATGAATGTATTGAAGATAGCTGGAAGTGGCTCTTCACCTTCTGACTGGTATGTGAGTGTAATCATGGTGAGACATCTGGGATGTATCTAGTGCACTAGCAATAATTAAACCAAACAGAGATAACAACCAAAGAGTTGTTGGTAAAATTTCCTATTACAAAAACAAAACAAATTGCGTTAATACCGAGTGTAAAGAATATGCTTTATTTTTGTTTTTTTTACTTGTTTTGTTTTTTCTTGTGGAAGGGTAAATAGTCCCCCACTTTTCCCCCCTCCCACCAGTGCACACCATGATTGCTTTCTCGAATTGCTATTCTGGGAACAGTGTACTTGTTTTAACACCCTATTGATTTTTTTAAAGCAATTTTAATTTCTAACTTATTCC